GGATTTAACTCATCATGCAGGGCTGGTCCAAGGCTGCCTGGAGCAGAATTTGACTTAGGGGTCCCTCTTGCTGCTAAAACCATCAGTACCACTTACAGCTTCTGTGTTAAATTTAGTGAAATCTGGGGGAGGGGGACTAGTTTCATTGGTTAATAAGTTATAATTCTAACTTATTATAAAGCAATAAGTTATAATTGCAGTTTAATTTGTATGAACAAACAAAGCTCAAACTCAAAGATTAAACTCATAGCATTAGATTGTAGCTATGGTAACAATTTAACTATGAATATTGTTCTTTGAATTTTTACAAAGTAAACTTGCCAGCTCCTTAAAATCTTGCATTTAAATGTTAAACAATTTAAAATCTTTTAATTTATGGGTGTTGAAACCATTAAATCAAATTTAGCAGCATTGATCCTCTCGATAAAAAAAAAAAAATTACATGTATATATAGCATTTATGGGTCCCTGAAGCCCTGGGGTCCTTGTGGAGCTGCTGACGTATTTTGGATTAAACAGAAGTACAAATAATTGATATTCATTTTAATTGTATTTTTTGATTAGTTGTTTTTAAGACTAGTTGTTTAAATATTGTGTCACTAGTGAAGTTTTCCCGTAATAATTACCCAGTAATAATTTTACATTTCCTGTCTATTTAACATCTTTTAACAGAAAAATATGGTGGGCTGCCGGTGGACTGCCTTAGCAAGTTTTCTGGGGGAAACCCTGAACTGGATCACTAAACCACTGCTTCCAGTATCTCTTCAGTGCAGCAGTGAGACTCTATCCAACCAATTGAGTTTCCTATATAGATGCCAAGTGTTGGAGTGTTAGTGTGACACTTACTGGTGACCTCCTGCAGGAAATCCAGGCAAGGCCGGCTAATTCCAGACATGCTAATAGACACAGCTACGGGGGTTTGGCCTTCGTAGTTCCTGGTGTTGGTGTTAGCCCCGTATGTGTAGAGCATCTGAGCACACAGCGCATCGTCCCTAAGGGCTGACAGATGCAGAGGGGTCTGTCCATCTTCAAGGCGACCAAGGTTTGTGTCTGCCCCCCTCTGCAGGAACATACGGCAGTAGGAATGGTTTCCTTTGATGACGGCATAGCGCAGCAGGAAACCATTCTGAATATCGATGTTGGCGCTGTGGTCCAGCAAGATCCGTACGCAGCTGGAGCGCTCACGGATGATGGCCAGCTGCAGTGGCGTGGTGCCTTTGTCACTAAGTGGATCCACCTCGGCCCTGAACTCCAGCAGGAGGCGTACAAACGAGTCACGGCCATAATGGGCTGCCACATGGAGCGGTGTCCAGCCATCATTGCTTTTAGCGTTGATGATGTCACCGCGATACTCGGACTCCAGCATCAGTCGGGCAATGCGAGCCCTGCCATGCATGGCTGCATAGTGAAGGGCTGTGAAGCCACCAATGAAGTCCTTCACTGTGGGGTCCGCTGTGCGAAGCAGAATGGAAACAAATGAACTGCATCATTACCTGCTTTTAGTAGTGAGGTGAAAGAAATAGGATTTCCTAGAACTCCATTACTAATTATTTGCCGTAACAGGTCACTGTTGGCTGTATGAAACATGTTAGAATATACAATTCCATTATTTTGTATTAACTAAGTATTTTGGGGCTAACACCAGAGGCTTCTTGTTGCCAGCTCACCCACCAAGGTTGCCTGGCCATTGATTCCCTAAGCAATGCCGCTTAATTCAAATCTCACTTCACAGACAGTCTGGACTTTCTCCCATTAACTTGGTTTCCTCCAGTAGAATTTCTACCAGGCCAACCAGCAAACAGAAAGTGAAGTAGTGAACAATGACGTTGATTTTCTGTGTTGTTTTAGAATTGTAATCTGCTTGTAGTTTAGGAGTGTCAGCAGAGGAGGTTAATGGAAGTGTAACTTCTAGTCTCTTTAGATTTTGTTTAACATAGCCCAGCTCCATTTTGTCATTTGTTGTTACCGCAGGGTGAGTCAAGCACAGTTTGTCTGGGATGTGTGATTGATAGGAGCAGGGCAGTTTGGGCACATGTGTGAATAAGTTAGTCTAATTAACTTCTACATCTTACCATCTTTCCTCACCAGAGTGAACTACCTCCTCTTCCATTTAGACTATCACAAGTAGATTAACACAACTTTATTTCATGTATTCTCCTTTATAGATGAGGTTGTATTGTAGGCATTTTGAAACACGCCACAGACGCCTGAGCTCAACCACCAAGAATATAATTTTGGCTTAGATTAAACATCTAAGCCTGCAGCTGCCTGGAATCCAGTAGGTACACAGTCTATACCGGACTACTTATCTCTAGGTATTCTAATGACTTTTCATCATCCCCGTCTCTCAATTATTCATGTGTGTAGACCTGCAGTGATTTGCTCTGTTAGGAACGATGATGTTAGTGAATGGCTGCATTTTCTCTGGTGATTTAAACCTTTTGTTTTGTTTTAACAAACAGGCTCAAGTGCAGAAGTCAGTTTCCTTTCAGGATAAATATAAAATTAATGTTTCTATTAACATTTCAAGGAGCTGTTCTAGGACTGATCAAGATAACGAAAACTAATAAAAACAAAAGCATCAGCTTCTGACCTCCATGCTCCAGAAAGACTCGGACACATCGCTCCTTTCCTTTGGCAGCAGAGAAGTGCAGCAGCGTCCACCCATTGGCGTCCCGTATCTTAGGCGAGTAGCCCTGCTCCAGCATCCTCCTGACGGTGCATATGTCCCCCGCTGCCACTGCAGCCTGGATCTGCAGCTCCTCATGGAGATCAGGGTTCCCTCTGCAGTGATGGTTCAGCATCCTGTCACATTTCACAACAGGAATTTTTACCTGTTCACTTTGGAAAAACTAAGAAATACATTGTGGCTCTCAATGGGGTTATTATCTGAAGATAACTTGAGGTTTTTGTCTTGCTAAGAGACATCTGAACTTTTTAATGTCCCTCAGTAAGATGCATCTTGACCACCCGCTTTTTGTAGCTGTTGGCAGATCTGTGACATAATGCTGGGTGGATGTTTGTCTGGATTGTTTTAGACTTGTCAACCAACTTTCTCGCTATCAAATAATGAATTTCATAAAGCTTGGAAATGGCCAGACTGACTTGCAGAAACAAAATCTTCTCTAAGATACATGATGTCTTGCCTCCCTTTCTGAGTTAAACACCTGGACTGACCAAGTAGTCTGTCTAACTTTTACTGAGTTGCTCACACACACTGATTCTGAGGTATGCATTGAAGTAGCAGCGGCTGGAAGCTACTTTCTCTTTTAATTCAAAAGTATCAATAGTTAGTGTTTCATCAACTGCTTTCCATTTTGGTTTCATTTTTGAGAACCAGTAGGTCCTAAAATGTAAAACTAATCTTACACCAACTGTTCCCACAGCAACACCATCCACAACAAGCCTTTGAAGATACTTAGATGATATGAATTGTGACACCATTATATTTTGCTACATGATAAGTATTATTAATTGATTTTTTAATTAATTGAAAAAAATATATGCCCAGTTTTTTTTACTTTTTAGTTTTTTAAAATGTAATAATAATAATAATAATAATAATAATAATAATCACAACTTGCTAAATCCATCCAAATTTTCAACTGCATAGACCTTACAATAAATTTTGAGTCCAGTTTAATCCATTACAAAAAGTAACTTTACATTATTGTCAAACCTATATGTATATACACAACATTGTTTTATTCCTAAAAATAATTGGCTTAAGTCATTTTTTGACCATTATTTTAGGAAAGCAACAATATCTCAGTTTCCATTATAGAAGACAATATAACAAACTGTTTCTAAGGAACAGAGGATGAATCAAGTTAAAGTTAATTTTTAAAACAGGTTTAATCAATTTCATCTCATATTTCTCAGGGTTTACTTAACACAACAACAACATGATTAAAATCAAAATGTACCTTTTAACCAGCTGAAGAGATGGGCTTCTCTTAGTCATATTGCTGCTGCACCTGCAGATGTTCTGCTGCAAAATCAAGACAGATAAATCACAACACGAAGAGGAAATCGTATTTCACCTCTTCTTCTAATCGCCAATTTCTTCACGCCAGCACTGAAGTGTTCAGATTTATTTTTAAATGTAGAACAACATGATTAAGTAAAGCTCCCTGGTTTTCCTAACACATTTTCCAGGATAAACCCACAAAAAGGTGGAGGCTTCTAGAGCTGTGCTACCAATTTTTTGCTTCAATTCTGATTTGTATGTCAAGCTGTCCAAAAACTATTTAAATGCTAAAAAGTTATTAGTAATCTTAACCACACTAAATCTCTCGATGAAGAAAATAGAAGAAACTCTAGAGTAGAACCTCAACACAAAAAGTTTTCCAACCTTTAAAATGAATGAATGAAGACCAAACTGGTCACTTCAGATGACAGGACGGTGTGACCAGCCATCGGTATCAAAGATACCAAAACACTTTTTCCTCTGTTTCTGTTTAGATTGGTTAAATCTAAATCTAAAGCTGACAATTTGCTATTGTATATGGTTAGACATTATGTATAAATGAAAGGCCACATTGTACAAAGATAGAATTAAAAAAAGATTATTTTAATAAGAAGAATTAACACCAGTAAGTAGGGTGTTTCCAAACTTAAGAGCAACTATGCCAGTTTTAAATGAGACCTTATTTTCTTCATAATTGAGCAGCCCTGAATGTTAGACACCCACCAACTCACTTATGTTCTCCACGATATTTTTTATTTTATTCTCACAACCGTAATAATGTAGAGAATTATTTATTCCATGGTACCTTTACATTTGTTTTTTTCTGTCTTCATAGCATTCCTTTAAAATTAAAATGTCTTAAATATCTTGCAAGGCATATAAGTGCATTTTATTGGTCTGTTGACTTTACATTGGACAATGTTAAAGAAACCGCCTTTTTGAAGAGATGCCCTGTTTCTAGGATTAGAACCAGAATTTAACTCAATTCTGCCAAAAAAAAAAAAAAAAAAAAAAATTTAAAACTTTTTTTTTTTTTTCCAGTTGCCCTAATCCTCTTCCATGCATTCCCTAGTGTAGTGTTTTAACCTTTAAACCTTGTGACTTTGAGTTGAACAGGCTGCAATGTGAAAGACTGGGAAAGACTGCACAGCACATGATGAATACTCATCCTGCAGGGTACTAATAACACACAAGACTGAAACAAAAAATAAATAAAAATAAAGTGAATTATGAAGGACAAATATTAAGTTAAGAAGTGTTCACATGTTGTAAATGATAAAATAAGCCTTTAGAACAACAAAATGAAGCAGAACAGTTACATTTCAAACTAAATCTTCTGTTTAAACTGATTATTTGTTTTTCAGTTTAAAACGCTGTAGCTTAGCTTTGGAACAACAAATGTTTAGCAACTTAAATGGTTAATGGAACAGACTGGGAAATTAACAATGAGAACAACAAAGTAGCAGTGTTTTAAAACAGGATTAACATTAAACTGTACATATTTGTAGCATGAAAACCAACTAATAAGAGTCCAAATGTAAAGGATATTCAGTCTGGACTTTAGAGAAATAATATTTGCCAAAATCCTCGAACAAAAGGCCAATTTAGGGATGTTATTTTTACCAGGCTGCTAGCTGATGCTAGTTAGCCAGCAGGCTAACTAACTCCCCAGCGTTAGCTCGTTAGCTTTTCTATGCCTTCAGGAACCGAGCCAGGGACTAATACGCAGCAGTGCAGTGGATTTGTCGATAATAAAGTTAATACTGATCATTTACAGCCAAAAATGATACCTCTGCTTCGATAAAACAAAGACTTACTGTGCAGACGATAAGCAGCCGTTTAGCCAATCAATCAGCTCCAGGGAAGACTGGAGTTGTCAAAGCTGCATATTTCTGCTCCCTTCCGCTCAGATTCCACAGCAAACAGCACAGCTCAGGGTTCAGGAAAACTTCACCAACAACACCTGGAAGTTCCGTCAAAGTTCATTTTGCTGTCAAAATCGCTTCAACTACTAAGTCTCTGTGACAACAGTGTGACCTCACCAGGAAAAACAACCAAACTTCCGTCTTCTTCTTCCTCTTCTTCACAATAAGAGCATATGCAGCTCAATATGATCAAAATGAACAAAAGGTGATGGGATATAAAAGGTTATCCTTACAGGGAAGTGGTTTGGAAAAGGTAAAATGCTCCCAGTATAACAAATAAGATAGAGAACAGAACAGAACAAAATAAAGAAAAATTATTTTGTTAATCATGTTCGTGGTTGAATCATTGCATGTTTGAACACTTATTTATCTGGTTCTGAATGCTCTACGGCTGGGAGGATTTTTGCTCTCACTTTTTTTTTTTTACAAATATGATGTGGTACTGTGGCGATAAGGTATCGTTTTTTTACAACTACGAGCGACTGGTTACTACGGAAGAGGATTAGGGCCACTGGGGGAAAAAAAATTCTGACTTTAATGTCAGAATTCTTAGGAAAAAAGTCAGAATTCTGATTTTAATCTCAAAAATAATAATTCTGACTTTAATCTCAGAAGAATTCTGAGAAAAAAAATCTGAATTATTATTTTTGAGATTAAAGTCTGAATTCTGAGACTAAATTTAGAATTCTGAGAATTCTGAGATTAAATTTAGAATTCTGAGATTAAAGTCAGAATTCTGACTTTAATCTCAGAATTCTGAGACTAAAGTCAGAACTGTTTTATTTTTCCCCCAGTGGCCCTAATCCTCTTCTGTAGGTTACCATAAAAAAAACCTCAAATAACCAAAGCTACAACCCTAAATCCCAGAGGCGTTGAAAAGGAGGCTTCATGGATGCAGAACAGGACCAGAAAGAGAAGGACAAAGTTCAAAACATCTCTTGTTCCATTAATACTTAATGGCGTCATGATAGTCTTCCATCATGACCAATATGATGGTCATGGCTCTCTAAGCATTTAAACGGAGATTTAAAGAGCATTGACAGCAGACAGAGTGAGGTGAAAGATTGAATTCTGTTAGTGTTATTTTTTTTGCCTGTGTTGCATAGATGGAAAAATCCTCCATATATTTGCACTAGAAAATGCTTCTCCCTCTTGTTTTTCTCATATGCTTGTCCAGAGGCACAGGTGGCAGTGCTGACATTTTAAAGTAAAAAAATATCAGCAATTTCAGTCAAAAAAGCCAGAATTTGGATCTGTTGACATTAGAGTTGCTTAAGTCCTCACACACCTACATCTGCATGTGGAGAGAAAGGAAGGTGGAATTGACACAACTCTCCAATGATAAGATGATTACTCTTTACTCTAATTCAAATATACACCATTTTAGACTATTGCACACAAACTTTTCTTTGACACATAAATTAGAGTAGAATTATTTGGAATGAAAAATGAGAAACAATATAACTTGAATATGAAAATTATTTCTCTTTCTCCCATTTCTTGTTACACACTCCCATCATTTGGTAATAGCTGATCAGGAATTGCACAATAAACTGTCCAAAAGAAACAACAACAAAGCAAATCAATAGTTTGGTATAATAATTCAAGATAAGTCAGAAGAAACTGCAATAAATAACACAATGATTAGTCCGTTTTGGTTTTGGAACTCAGTAAGCCTGACCAAAGTCTGCTTGGGAAAAGAAGAGCTAGAAAGTATAGTAACACAGTGCAAAGTTTTAAAATGTTAGGAAACAGAGTATCTTATCATCAGATTTAAATATTACGAGGAATAATTTAATAGTACAGAGAGAACTAATACCAATATTGATGACATTATAAAAGGTAAAAGATCTTCAAGTTGCACATTAATAAGAATTCAAACTGGTGCCTACCTGCCTCCAACAATCAGGGTAGGCAGAGATTTGAACCAAGGACTTTCTTGATGCAGGAATACGTTGTTATCAACAATGTGGGATCTAGACTGGGCATTGAATAATTCAATCTGTTCATGATTAAGATACAGTAGGTGCTATAGGGCTCAGTTATGATTCCCTGCTAAAATCCTACAAAAAGTATTGATATGAATGTAAAAATGAGCAAAAGAGAAGTTAAAAATATAGCTAAGCTGTATGTAAAGAAAAAATGGCAAGATCAATAGGGTGCAGAAGTCAAGGTTTGCTGTTATAATATTCAAAAGAAAGTGGAAGAGTTTAGGAAAAGTGATAAAATTAGATTTGGTTGTTCTGTGCTGAATAGTGCAGTTAAAATCTCCAATAAAAATTATAAAAGTGATTATTATTATTATTATTATTATTATTATTATTATTATCATCATCATCATCAGGTGGTGTATTTAAATTTGTTTTAAAGATTATAGAGGTAGAAAATAGATTCTGAGCCATATTAAAATTCTCAAGGTGGATAATTCATCCAGTTGTTTGCGAATCGCCATTAGAAAAAAAAGAAAAAAAAAACACTAATGCAAAGGGGGCCACTGGAACCACGTGGAGTTATTGGTTTTAATAAAACAGGAAATGAATGAGAAAAGGCAAAAGCAATGGAAGAAAGATTTGGGCTAAGTACTAGACTGAATAGAAACCTTTATTTTGGGGAAATATTTCGGGGGGTCAGTTTGAATACTGTGATGAAACAATATAAAAACTACTAAGGAGAAAGACAATAATTGATTCAAATTTAAATACAATTTAAGCTATACTAGATTTAGTTGATCTATTTAGAATGACTCAAAAAAGTTAGTTATAATATTTCGTTATCTCAAATGAACACAGCTGATTACTACCAGCCGGTGGCGGTAGTGCAACAATTTCGTTGTTTGCCAACCGCCAATAAACATCAAAGAAGAAGAACAAGAAGAACAAGAACAAGTAGGTTGGCTAAGGACGCTATTATAAAAGAAGATATTGATATGCCAGCAAAGTTATCTAAATTTGAAGGCAAAAGTATAGTTTGGGGAGAAAGCAAGAAGATATGGAAAATTAGGTGGGATAATAAAATAAATGGAAGACATTTATATAGGATACAAAATACAGTTGATGTAGTAAGGATCAGAGGAATAAACAGGAGGGAGGAGATAATTACGGGCGGAGTTTTTTAAATGGAACTCTGTAGTTGGTGTGATACTTTAGAAACTATGGAACATGTTTTTATTAGTTGTAGAAAATATGAAAATCAAAGAAGATTATTAAAAACGGAATTAGGTTTTAATAGGGAATTGAAATTTGAGAATGTGGTTGATCAGTTAAATAGTATTGAGGGGGAAAAGAAGATTTTTCGTTTTTTTAAAAAATACTGGGATCTTTTTGAGAATTTGAGGTATAGATAATATTAGGATCCAATAGATGGCAGTAGTACAACAATAATGGATGCAAGCTGCCGTTAAAACCTAAAGAAGAAGAAGAAGAAGAAGAAGAAGAAGAAGAAGAAAAACAACAAGAAGAAACCCATCAGTGAAGAAAAAGAGAAACCAAATGGACTTGATCAGATGTAGCTATGATACTATTTTTCTCTGAGCGGAAGGATGGATCTCCCGGAGAGTCCCGGGCCGTCTTCCATCAGAGAGCTGTCTCACTGCTACCGGGCTCTTCTCGGAGGAATTTGTCCGAAACTAAGCGGTGGTGAGGTTGCGAGGCTGCTCTTTTCTGGCGTTTGTGGACAGGTGCTGGAAAGGGACACGCAGGAAGGCGCTGAAACCGCGTGGGAGCTGATCGCCTTCAGTCTGACTCTGCTGAGGAAGATCTGCTGCGGGTTGTCCGCTCAGAGCCTGGATGGAGCTGTCCGGGGCCCCTGGAGGGACATCCTCAGCCTTCTGTTTGACCCCATGGACCTCATGTCTCAGCTTGTAAGTAACCTACTGGGTGAAACCACAGACAAACACGAGAAGACGTCATCATGAAGAACCCGCTTTGGTCCTCAGGTGCTCCACTTCCAATCTGAGGATCAGGTGATCTCACATCTGGCTGCAAAGTCTGCGTCTGTGTGTGTTCTCTACCTTATCAGCACATCAGTGAGTAGTTCGAAAAAAAGGAAACGACTTTTCCATAATAATATTCTTATCTTCACGACTCCTGCAGTGCTGAGCTGATTCTTGTCAAATAATGAAACAATCTATGTTCTGGTGGAACATTGTAACAGACTTCTGAATGTGGGTGCAGTCTCTCTTTCTTCCACCTCGCTGTAAATGGGCCATAAGGGAGTAAATCTCTTCCAAAAAAAAACCTCAGAAATTGAGATTGTCAGAAATTTTGACCTTTGAATTTATTTATTTTTTTTTTTTTAGAAATTGTTGAGATTAAACTGAAAATTTCAGATTTTTTTTTTCTTTTTTACTTTACTCATTTTTCTAACAACGCCTCTATGCTACCATACTTTTCTGCTGGTCTGGGGAGCATAATAATAATCTAACAAGTTCGTAATACAGGTTAAAAACTAAAACTGCCACATTGTCTGAACTCAAAGACCATTACACATTTTAATCTGTTAATTTTAAAGTCAAATATAGTTCAGATCATAAAAATCTTAAAACTGTGGGAAAAATGACACATTTTCATTTTGTGTAAGCAGAGCCTTGAAACACAGAAAAAAAATGAGAGCTGCATTCAGACTTAAGTTGTTAATCTGATGGCCAGTTATTAAAGACCGCCTGTTAAATTTGTGCATAAATCTTTGTTCTTTTTTTTCTTTTTTTTTTATATGCTGTGACTCCCACAGAGACATTCTGTCTCTCAATGTGGCTGGATTGCTGAGCTGCATTATCTCCCACAACTCTCCATCACAGCTTTTGATTTCCTTTTGGGATAAATAGAGTATATTTAATTTATACTGGATCGAGTTTAATGGTGTTTTCAATAAATTGATTCCTCCACTTTGTATCCTGCTGCTGTTTCTACTCCTGAACCTCCAGCCCGGTTTGTGATCCAGCTACACAAACAGTTAATACTGGTACATTCTACTCAGTGATGATTTGTTTATTTTTTAAATAAAAACCTCTCCACCTCTCCAGGGCACAGTGAATCCTGTTTGGCAGAAGCAGTGTGTGCAGACTTTCAGCAGCTCTCGTCCTGGTCCTGAACTTGACGCCTGCCTTTGGTCTCTCACTGAAGTCGTCAAAAAGCTCCTCAA